GTTCGTTTTTATTTGAAACTTCGTTTATTTAGAATATATTTTCGTTACCAATAAAATAAAAATCTCTCAGTCAATCAGAAACCCGGATTCATGCCTTCGAGGAAGGTCCCGTTTGAACGCTCACATCGTTTTTTTTTTTCGTTTGGGGGAAAACTAAAACTGGTCGCAATTTTCGAATAAGAATGAGTCGGCAATTTTTAGTGGAGTCGAAAATTTGGAGGTAAATAAAACACCGAAACCCGGCAAATAAATAGCCAATCGAATTTTTAGAGGGGTCGAAATTTTGGAGTTTTCACGGTACTAATTATTCCATTTCAATGAAACTTAGTACAAAGATGCTCTAGGACAATGTACAAACCTAATTAGTTTGGGGTAAAAATCTGTTCATATTAATTCCCTAATAAGCATAATAATTCATAATTTTTTGGTTCTAATCACATTTCAATTAAACTTGGAGACATAGATTTTCTGTTACATTGCGCAGACCTCATTAGTTTTACACTCAAATCTGGTCATATTAATTTTCTGATTTGCATAATTAGTTTTCAGCTAAGTAATTTCGAATTATATTTAATGTGTCTCCAATACTCTCGGCACATGGGAGTTCTTTCTAAGCTTTCTTTGATTACTGGTGGGCCACCGCACATCTACATGCGACACCCCCTAGTGTCGCTTGGCTCTCTTTGCCAGGGCCACTACCGTGCTACGAGACGCGGCATTAGACGCACATGTTTTCGCCGACAAGCTGAGCCGGGGTACGTTCCCACCTCAGTGACGCAGACTGGACATCCTCCACCATCTTTGTTCAGGGAATGGTGGGTACAGTCTTGGAGTTTCGGAGTGCAATGAACCAGAGGGTTCAGATCGAATCCGCTAGCCAGTTGGTCCTGCCATGAGCAAACGGAGGGCACCCCATGCACAGAAAACACAACGTCGTCCGCTAGCCAGAGTCAGCCAGGAGGCAAGCGCTTATACCCTTCCATGGGAGGGGGAGGGTAGTGGCGCACCCCCAGGGAAGTAAGAGCCAGGTGGTGGCTCCTCACCCTCCCTGGGCGGACGTCTACCCGGCAGCAGGGGAGGCATGTTTGACGCTCACCTCTGCAACCGGGGAGGGGGGGGGGGGGTCAGGCACATGTTCGGTGAATTTCCAGGTCACAACTTAGTGACTACTTCAGGTCTTGGGGAACTCACCTCATGGGGGAAGGGAGCACCCCTCCTCGCAATTGCTGAACACATGGCCACGTATCCCTGTCGTACACAAATTGCGCCAGTGTAGTCCGGTTTGGAGACGGCGGGTGACCAATCCCTGGACCTTTCCAGGTGGTGACATCCGTTTACGGGATACCGCTGAAATCTCCATTTCCCCCCGTCAGTGTCTCCCCTGTTGGGCACTGCCAAGGAACTCCAAGGAAGCAATCAGACAGGAAGTAGCAGTTTGCTGGGGAAAGACGCCATACACAGGGTACATCAGGCGGAACTAAGGCCAGGCTTCTTCCCAAATGTGTTCGTAGTACCAAATCTACAAGTGGCAGGCGTCCAGTTTTGGACCTAGGGAGACTGAATCAGTACGTGCTCCTCGATCGGTTCCACATGGAGACACCATTCAGGGTTCTTTTCTCCATCCACCGTTTTGACTGGCTAGCCCCGCTAGACTTAAGCGGGGCCTACCTGCACGTACCGATGCACCCAGCGAGTTGCAATCTCCCTCGAATCCCCCAGCTGGGCCAAGTATTCAAATTTCGGGTGCCCCCCCATTCGGGTTAGGCACAGCGCCCTACGTGTTCACCAGAGTGATGTAACAGGTAGTGCTGCTGCTTCACCAGATGTCGGTACACCTCAATCCGTACCCAGACTTCCGGTTACCAACAACCCGGGCAAGGGGTAATAGCCAAACGCGTCAGGCTAACACGGGATTTACTTCACCAGTTGGGCTCGTTAGTAAATCGACAAGTCCCACCTCGACCCAACGCGCAGTTGGTGTCCCTGGGCATGGAGTTTTGACACAGAGGTAAGCTTGGCTTAGCTATTTCAAGCGTATTGCTTAGCGCTAAGCAGCCTAGCTGAATGCCTAGTCAGCGTTCCCTCGGTGTCCCTCCGTGAACTAATGTGGATCATCGAAGGGTCGTTCCCGAGGCCACACTACGCAGCCGCCCGGTATAACGCTTGTTATAA